TCGCGGTGAGGGAGAGCTTCCTGGAGACATTCGAACCAGAATGCTGCTGCGAGTCGCGCAAACATCATGCTGCAATGCAGTGCAATGCTGATGCAACGCGTTAGCCGATCCTCCTACATTCCCCTTCCTCCTTACATTCCCCTTCCTCCTTGCATTCCCCTTCCTCCTTACATTCCCCTTCCTCCTTCCATCATTATTCTCCTTGAGGGGGGTGGGGGGAATATGTTTGTGGGGTGGCACAGGGAACTTTCGAAGTGGATGAGATGATAAACGAGCGGAGGCCAGCGAACCATATTTTGAGTAGTAGCATTGCTAGAACACACAGTGAAACACTGCACCTCACAGGAGAGACATCTACATAATCACCCAAATTGAATTCAACATGGAAACACGTAGTGAAATATACGTCGAACTATATGTTTTCGTATCTATACGATATGCTACTTCATCGTAACATTTCATAAAATTAGATCTGATGCTGTGTTTTTACGAGTGCGATCTGCTTTTATATGTGATGAGATGGAGGCGCGATCTCTCACAGAGATCCTGGGCTCCTCTGGGAAGGGCAGCGAGGCGCCCCGGCTCATCCTCGACGCGCGGTGGGTCAACCAGCGTTTCGACCGGGCAAAGCGCGCGCGCCCCCGCAGGTGCCCGACTTTTTTGCCCTCCCTCCGGTGGATCTCTTTGTCTTTCGGCGTGCTCGCGCTGATCTGCATGCGCGCGGTGGGGGCGCGGGCTCGCCCCGCCCCGCGGCGCCGCCCGCGGGCCTGAGTTGGCCGCCGTGCTTCTGCCGGGAGATCGCGATTCAGCGCGCGCTGCGCAGCAGATGTTCGCCCGACTCGATCGCCGAGGGCGGGCGGGCGGCCCCGGGCCTGAGCGGGGCCTTGGCCGCAGGGGCCCGCGTCGACGGGCGCGCCGTCTCGAGCGCGGGCGCAGCCCAGCGCGCGCGAGGCGTAGCCATGGTGAAGGAGATTTTGCAGCAGCGCGGCTGGCTGACCAAGGGGGTCGTCGAGCCGCGCTGCGAGCGGGCGCTCGCGGGCCTGACCTTCCACCGCGCCGCCGGGCGAGTCTCCCCATCCCGCTCGCGCCTGCGGCGGATCTGCCGGGCCCTCCTCTCCGCCGCCGGCGCCGAGGCGCAGGCGCAGGGCCGGGTCCGCGGTTCCTGGGCCCCTTGTCGCGGGCGCGCCTCATCTGGCGCGGGCCCCTCCCGGTTTTCGCGCGCCCGTTCGCAGGGAAGGTCGGGCCTCGGTGCCCTTGGCCATCCGTGCGCCGTGAGCCCCGCTTCGGGGCTGCGCTGATCGCCTTCGCCTTCGCAGACATCGCGAGGCCTATCGACGGCGCCGCGGTGGCGTCGGGCGCCGCCGGGGGCCGCCGCGACGGAGCGGTGGGCCGAGAGTTGGACCTCGATTTGATCCGGAGAACCTCGCAAGTGAGTGAGCGATGGAGATACCGCGCGCTGGCCAGCATTCTGGCCAGGGCCGTCTCTCTCGGCCTGCGCCGGGCCCCCCGCGCGCCACGGCAAGAAGAAGGAGCTCGCATGCGACGCGCTCGACGGCGACATCCGCCTGGCCGCGCGCAGAATCTTGAAGCCGCTCGAGGCCCCCGAGGCATCGCAGGGCGCCCCGCGCTGGGCGCTCGCCGTCGGGGCCCGAGGGAGTGTCCGTCACCTGCGCCAGCAAGGGCTTCCAAGAAGTGGGCGGCCAGGTCTCGGGCGTGCCATAGGATTGGAAGGCGTGTTCCCACGGGCGTTTTGGGCGAGCCGCCGACGTCGTTCTTCTGGAGGTTGAGGATCTTCTCCTGGGAGCTCGGCATGGGCTCCGGTCGCGTCGTCGGCTGGGCCCTCGCTAGCTCGCGCTATCTGAGAACCTGTCGCTCGTGCTAGCCGCGGGCAAGGTGGTGTCCTCAGTCTCATCGGTGAATGCCGTGCTCCGTCGCGTCGCCGCTGTTTGCCTGATGGCCGATGTTGACCTCGCCGTCCGTTGGACCCCTGTCAGAGCGTTACCCTGCCCGTAGACCCTATCGATAAACCGGGGCCCCTGTCCGCGGCCGCATGGGCGACTCGCGCGGCCTCGTTCGGCTCGAGACCCCGGGGCTGGACTTGATCGCGCCTCTTGGCCTCGAGCATGTCGAGGATGCGATGTGGTGTGCCGCTGTTGAATCCGCTGCTGAAGAGGGGCCCCGCTCTGCCCCCGGCCGCGCGGCCGCGGGGCTCGGCAACTCCTGGGCCGACGAGCCAGTCTGGGCCGATCGCCGCGGCGCCTCCGGCGCCGGCCCCAGGGGCATCGATTGGGGCAGCAAGTCCAGCGGCGACGAGGACGAGATCCTCAACGTCGGTTGCGGCATCCACCACCGAGAGACTTCGCCGTCGCCGAGCTCGGGATCGCGCCAGCCAGGCGACATCGTCGAAATTGATTCCGACGCGAGGGCGCCCGCGGACTTCCATGCAGGCTCGCTGGCGCATCTCGACCTGTAGCACGGCCACTTCTTGGAGTGGCAGTCGGGGCGCCAGACGCGTCGGCCCGCGCCCTCGGAGCTGGGCCACGCGCTGAGCTCGCACCCCGTTTACTTGCACTTCGAGGGGCCGCGGGGCGCGACGCGGGCAGCAAGTTCATTGCCGCAGCGAAGCACAGGCGGGGGGGGGGGGGGGGGGGGGCGCAGCCCCGCCCGTACCAGGAGGGGGCGCTGCCGGGCGCGCAGGCGGCCACGAGGGGGATCCGCACGCTGGCTCCAGGGCGCACTCGGCGCCCTCTCGCTCGGAAACGGCTCTGCGCGATGTTGGGCCTGGCGATGCTGGGCTCGAAGACCGAGTTCGCGGCGGCCCCCGCCCTGGCGCGGGGCGGCGCCCTTCGCGCTCCCAGCGACTTGCTGCCCCTCGCGCCCCCGCGCCTGATCCCCCCCCCAGTCTCAGGGCCCCAGCCGAAGCTGGGGGCTTCTCCTGTGCCCGGAGAAGCTCGGGAAGTGCAGCAAGGGGCAGGTCTGCGACAAGGGCACGCTGCTGTCGCGGGACGTCCCGCGAGATTTTTTTGGCCGTTTCTACGCGGGCTTCGCGCCGAGCCTCCAGCCGAGGCGTTCTGGGCGATCAGCGCTGTGGAGTTCGGCGCGACGTCCAGGAAGTGCGCCGAGCGGCTCGAGATGGAAGACCCCCACCCGTGCCGCGTCCGCCTTAGGTCAGCCAGCTACGACGTCGCCGCTGGCGCGCGCACCCCGGGGCAGGCGCGGGCGCGCCTGCGCCGCGTCGGCCCGGCCATCGCTCGAAGGCGCAGCCGCTCCGCTCGGCGCCTTGCCGAGGCGGCGAAGGTGCCGCTTGGAATTCGCGCTCTCGGGGAGACCGCGCGGCTGCACCTCGGCAAGATCCCCGACGGCGACTTCAGGGCTGGGCTGCCTCCGCCGCGTCCAGGCGCACTCTGGCGAGGCCGGCCGCGGGCGACACCTTCCAGGGTTCTCGCCGTCTGAGTCACGCAGCGTCGCGGGGGCGAGCCCGCCTGCTTTTTGCGCGGGCTTTTGGAGAGAGAGAGAGAGAGAGAGAGAGAGAGAGAGAGAGAGAGAGAGAGAGAGAGAGAGAGAGAGAGAGAGAGAGAGAGAGAGAGAGAGAGAGAGAAGAGAGAGAGAGAGAGAGAGAGAGAGAGAGAGAGAGAGAGAGAGAGAGAGAGAGAGAGAGAGAGAGAGAAAGAGAGAGAGCCACAGTTTTTGATTGTTTCCAGTCAAAGGGCCAGTCGGATCGGCTATCCTTGATTTATCGGAATTCGGCGATGTCTCTCTCGATTGCCGCCTCGAGCCTTGGATGGATCTCGCCGACGCTCGGTTGACTTGAATTCTTCTCGGGCGGATCGGGGCTGGATGTGTGCGCGGTGTCTGGGCCGGCTCCCCCGTGCGGCGCCTGGTCCATGGCCAGTCGCAATTTTTCCCGCCGCGCTTTCAGCATATACGGCTTCACTCACGCGAGTGCCAAAGCCCAGAAAATGACCGCGCTCGGCAACGCTTGCGTTAAGCAGCTCAAGACATCATTCGCGCGTGCCTGTTGCGCGGATCGCCCGTAGGTTTCGAACATCCCGCCGCCAGTCTCACGTGGCACGAACCTGTATGTCACTGTCTGTCAGCACTTGTCCCAGGTGCCTAGTTGTATTCAGACCGCGTTGAATTCCTGTGCTCACGGCGCCCGCTGGCGCAAACGCACCAATTTGCTCGTGTGGAATGCTTGTCCTGCTCCCTTCGTCTTGTGCAGCAAATGTTCAGGTGCCAAACATATGTGTAGCTTCGCTGGCAGACCTCGCATCACTCTTGTCAAGAAAACTTTCCGCGGGAGCAATTGGGCTGCGCCCGCCGAAGCCAATCCCCACCCGTCGCTCGTGCCATTGCGTGGTGGTTGCGACGAGCGGCCGATAGACACCAGTTCGCCAGGATGAATGATTCTTTCTGTCAGCAACATATGCCGCCCGGAGGCCATGATCGGGTTTCGGGTGCAACCAAGCACCTGTGAGCTCGCTGGAAATCCCTCGCTTCCCACTCGCCTCGCGTAGAGACGTCATATCTGGTAACGCTCGGGGGACATGCTTTTGTTTTCAAAGACGTTTGTCATCCACCCGCGTGCCGTCAGACGCCGAGCCGGTATTTGGGCACGTTTTTTTTTGTATATGGCCCGTGGACATTCTGCTCAAGCTCTCCACCTCCCCTCCTCCTCCGCCCATGTGCGCAATTGGTTTCAGCCGTGCGGCAGTCTCGAAATAGTGTCTTTGTTTGTTTCCGCGTGGGGGTGCCACCGCGCACTGCTGGTGAGCTCGCTGGAATCCCTCGCCTCCTGTTCGTTTCACACAGAAGCGTCGTCTCTGGTCACGCTCGGGGGGCATAGTTTTTGCGTCGTGGCGGGCGTTTTCTGGCCACACCGCTCGGGAAACGATATAGTACATGATGGGTACACCAGATGTTCGGGTCGGACGCATGCTTCCACTGAGGATTCATAGTATGTCCTTGTGCGTTCCATGTGCCACTGATTGCTGCTCCAGGTGCGCGACTCCGAGGCCTCGCACGCCTGCGCGACGCCCGCGGCGTGGTCTCTGCTCGGCCGCGGCGGCGGCGGCGGCGCGCTGCCGTCGCTGCGGACGGTGGCGCTCGGGGGCGAGCGGATGCCCAGGGACCTGTCGGACGCGTGGTCGGGGCGTGTCCGTTTACTCTCGGCGGCGAGCGAGGGGGGAAAGTGAGATGGCGCAGGCCTTCTCGGAAGGCGGAGGGCTTTCCAGAAGCCTTTTTCCGTCCTTCTCAAAAGTTGGGTGTCCTCTGGAAAAGCTTCAGACAGAAAACTTATCAGAAGGCCGGGGGACTTCCGAGCCTTCCGGGAAGGCCCGCCTCTTCTCATTTCCTCCTTTCGCTCGCCGCCGATACTCAACGTGTATGGCGTCACGGAGGCCACCGTTTACCAGATTGGTAAGGCTTTGGGCTGCGCGCAGGCAGCAGCCCCGGGTGATCCTGGCTGGCCTCAGCAGACCCCCCGAGAGTCCCAGTTGGCTTCATCAGGCTCCATCCAGGACGGTTTCAACAGCCCTGGACCACTCGGGGGGCCTGCTGAGGGCATCTGGACTACCCTGGAGGGCTGTTTGCGCAGCCCGAAGCCTTACCATACCAGACTTGGCACCACTGCGTGCCCTCTCGGCCCGTGCTGGCTGGGATCCCGCTGCGGCGCGTGCTGGTCAGGGTCGGCGAGGATCAGGAGGTCCTGCTCGCGGGCCCGCAGCTTGCTGATGGGTACTGGGGCCGTGCGGAGCTCACCGCCCAGCGGTTTGTGGACGACGTGGAGTTCGGGCAGCGAGCGTTCCGGACTGGCGACCTGGGCCGGTGGGAGGACGGTGCCTTGGCCGTGCTCGGGCGCCGCGACAACCAGGTCAAGGTCAGGGGTCTGAGGGTGGAGCTGGAGGACTCGAAGAGGCACAAATTACATGAACATGAGCTTTCGGAACTCCGCGTGGATTTCTTGGACTGGCGCTGGGCCCCCATGGCGGCGGCTCGGGCGCCGCCCCTGGCGTGGTCCGCGCGCCAGACAGAGGGGGCCATGCAGCGGCCGATGGGAGCCTTCGAAAGGACCCCCAATCGCCCATCGATCGCCGATAGAAGCCAGATAGCCCACCCCGCCCAGGATTGTGTGGATTCGCTATCGGGGGCCCACCGCTGCTCTGTCGGCGACGTATCGTCGATTCAAGCTCGATGCCCCCCCCACTGAGCTGGTCCCCCGCTTAGCGACGCAGAAAAACGGGTTCCATTGCGCGGACTTCCGCGTAAGTCGCCCACGTAACCGCCTTCGTTTCCGATGTAGCTTGCCGCGCTGGTGGCCCGCGTAAGTCACCGCGTGAGGTCATTATACCGTCACGCCGCTGACTTGTTTCTGTTCGTCGATCTCCTGACATTGCCCCTAGATATCTTGACTTTTTTTCAAGATGGGGTCCATGGAAGTCCCGACCCTTTCCCCAGGGCTGGCTTCCCGTCCCAGATCGCTTGTCGACGGTCTTGAGGCCCGGCGCGGGCCCCCAGAGGCCTCTGCCTCGAGTTCCCCGACGCGCTGGAGCTCTGGGCCTGGGTTGGTCCGACCCCTCACGTCGCCCCTCGGAGGAAGTCGAGGCCGTGCTGCACAGCTCGGGCCTTTCGCTGCAAGCCGTCGTGGCCAAGGTGGGCGATGCCCTGGTCGCGGCCTGCGTGCTGGCCGGCTCCGCCGCGGGGGGCGCGGCAGTGCTGCGGCACGGCGGGGAGGTGCTGCTCCGCGCGCACTGCGGCGACGAGATGCCCGCGCACCAGATCCCCGCCCGGCTCTCGGAGAAGAGTGCACGCCGGTCGTTGGAAGTAGGTAGTTTTGGATTATTCTAGAGTTCAAGCTACTTCAAGCGCCTTCCTACTTCTTCCTACTTCAAGGATCGATGTGTTTTGGCTGTATGTTGTTCTTCACTGGGCTGGCCTGGACCCAATCTACTTCATCCGCCTTCCTACTTCATGGTTCTACCTACTTCTTCCGCCCAGCGTGTAAACAGCGCATCAAAACAGAACGTGCCCTGACGCCTGAGTTTCTTACGCCTGGCTGGACAGCTTGGAAAGGTCCAGGGAGTAGCGGTTTCTGTACTTTTTGGTTTCCCCATTGGTGGCCCTCCGGCGCCGCGGCGTGCGCTCTTGGCGACGCCGGAGGGCCGCCCAGTTCTCTGGAGAAGAAAGATGTGCCGAAACATTTGCCAGTTGTGCAATTAGCGCCAGATCCCCGAAGTGGTAGATTTCTCGGCATGTCTTCATGCTCCGCCTGCGTCCGAATTGCAGATTGGGCGTGGTCCTTGTCTCGAGTTGAATAAGTTTTTAACGCATCCATGGCGCATGTGGAACATAAGGTCCTCAATAGACATCAAGTGGAGAATTTGGGATTTCCAAATCTACATGCATTCATACATACATACATGCATACATACATATAGAGACAAACATACAAACAGACAGACAGACAGGCAGGCAGACATGCATGCATACATACAGATATACACCCATAAACACGTACACACATACACACATACACACATACACACATACACATACACGTACACGTACACATACACAGACACATACACACAAACATACATACATACATGCATGCACCATACATATGTACATACATTGATACTTGCATACATACATAGCCACATACATACAAACATACATACATGCATACATAAGTCCCTACATACATACATACATACATACATACATACATACACACACACATACATACATACATACATACATACATATAGACAGACAGACAGTCAGACAGACAGACACACAGACAGACAGACAGACATACATAAATACATACATACACACATACATACAAACATACCTACATACATACATACATAGATGCATGCATACATACACCAACACATACATGCATGCATACATACATACACATATACATACATACATACATACATACAGACAGACATACATATATACATGCATACATGTATACATACACCAACACATAAATACATCCATACATACATACATACATACATACATACATACATATACATGCATGCACACATACATACATACATATATATATATATATATATATATATTTAGACATACACACATACATACATACATACATACATACATACATGCACACACATACAAGCATACATACATACCTACATACATACAACCGCACATACATACATACTTACATATATCTATATATAGTTATAGATATATTTATATCGGAGGTGAGGGGGTGAGATCGAAGTGGAACGGAGAGCCCCCCTACCGGGAAATCGATTTCGGTTTTGTGTTCGTGCGTGCCGTGCGTGCGGGCGAGGCGAAGCTGCGTGGGCGGGCGAGAAGAAAGTCTCCTGTGGCTGAGGCGCGGCCGGACCAAATGTCTCCCTTCCGGGCGGCCGGTGGCCCGCGGTGTCCCGCCGGTGTCCCGCTGGTGTCCCGTGTGGCTGAGGCGCGGCCGGACCAAATGTCTCCCTTCCGGGCGGCCCTCGGTGTCCCGCCGGTGTCCCGCGGTGTCCCGCGGTGTCCCGCGGTGTCCCCCTGGTGTTCCGCGGTGTCCCGCGATGATGATGATGATGATGATGATGATGATGATGATGATGATGATGATGATGATGATGATGATGGTGATGCTGATGATGATGTTGCTGATGATGATGCTGATGTTGATGCTGATGATGGTGATGCTGATGATGATGCTGATGATGATGAGGATGATGATGATGATGATGATGATGATGATGATGATGATGATGATGATGATGATGATGATGATGATGATGATGATGATGATGATGATCGAGTGAGATCGAGTGTCAGATAGATCGAGTGAGATCGAGTGAGATCGATTGTGAGATCGATTGTGAGATCGATCGAGGGAGATCGATCGAGCGAGACCGATACTGAGATCGATAGTGAGATCGATTGTGAGACCGATCGAGTGAGACGTTGGTTCCTCCCCCCCCGAACCTCCTTATCGCCCGAAGGGTGGTCGTATAGGTATATATATGTGTATATATATTCATCCATACATACATCCATACATACATACATACGTACATGCACGCATGCATGCATGCATGCATGCATGCATGCATGCATACATACATACATACATACATACATACATACATACATGCATACATTATCTCGGTCCCCGTGTGTTATGTGACCCCCCCTCTTGAGGCTCCCGAATGTTCCCGCATCTCGGTCTGTAGCTGTTCTGGCTTGAACGCCTCGCTCACCAGCAGCCCGCTGCACTTTGCTGGTGAGGGGAGGCTGAGGATTTCGAGAGGGGCGGCCTGCGGGCCGCCCGCGAGCGGCGGTGCGACACATGCTGGGCGTGGGGGCGCCCGCCGCGGGAGCAGGCGCAGCAGCTTGTGGGCCTGGAGGCCTGCTGGGCGTGGGCGCTGGAGGCGTGGGCTTCGCGGCTGGCCCCCCGCCCGCCGTGCCGCCAGGGGCCGTGCCCGCTCCGCCGCCCGCGCTGGGAGCAGCGCCGCCTCCGGGCGCAGGCGCGGCGCCCAAGGCCGCCAAGAGAGGCAAGGGCGGCGTGGGCGGCATGGACAAGGCGGCCAAGGCGGGTCGCAAGGCAGCGGCCGCCGCAGCGCCTGTCCCACCAGCAGCGGCAGGTGCAGTGGCCGCCCCACCCCCGCTGCCTCCTCCGCCTGCGGGACCTCCTCTGCCGTGGGCCGCGGGGGGCGCGCCGTTGCCGCCACCCGCGAGGGCGATGCCCATCCGTGGCGGGCCCCCACCACCAGCCGTGGGCCCCATGATGGGTGGTGCCTGCGGCGGGCTGCTGGGCTTCGGAGGGTTCGCAGGCGCAGGAGCACCGCCACTACCAAGAGGTCAAGGTCACTTGGAGTGTATCCAGGGTGTGAGATCGAGGGCGTGCTCCTCGACCGTGGTGGCGCGCCCGTCGGCACCGCGAAGTTCGCCGTGAAAGGGAGTTGGCCCCCCGACGCCGTGGGCATGTTCGTGAAGTGCCAGTTCGTGTCGACGAGGGTGCCGCTCTACGAGCCCATGTTGCAGGGGTTGTTCGGCATGGGGCAGGCCGTCCTTGAACTGTGCGGAGGTCGGCCCGCGGTGATCTGCAGCCAGCAAGACATGTGGCCAGGGCGCCAGGTCGTGCACGTGGACACCTTTCGAGTGGTGCCTCCGTCGGCCCTCGGTGCTGGGCTGCCTGGAGGGGTGCCTGGGGCGGCCGCGCCGTTGGCAGCGGCGGAGGTGGTGCCCTTCGCCGCCCTGCTTGGAGCGACGTGCCCCGCAGGAGGAGCACCTGCTGTCCCAGGAGATGGCGACGGAGCAGCGAGCTCGAGCGAGTTGGACGCTAGGAAGCTGCGAGAGAAGCTCGAGAGGCTGCGACATCGCTTCGCTCAGAAGCGAGATATCGGATCACTCCTGGCGTCTCGGGCCGAGCAGCGCCTCGACGGTCATGGGAAGTCCAAGAGGAAGAAGCAGAAGAAGAAGAAGAAGCAGCGGAAGAACAACAAAGAGGACTCCAGCGACTCGTCTGAGAGTTTTCGTGACACCCCACCCTCTGGCGCAGGTCGCCGTATACCGTATGTGAGCAGGTCGGCGCCAGGTGCACTCCTTGCATCAGGCCTCGAGCAGATCAAGCAGCTGTTGGCGCAGAGGGGCGGGCCGGACACAGAGGAGAACCTGAACATCATGGCGGCGATGGTTGTGCAGTACATCACCTCGGTGTGGCACGGTCGGCACCCGCCTCATATGATGGGTGTGAGAATCACCAAGGAGATGATAATGATCGGAGAGTGCCTCGACGCGCTGCTGGCAGGTCGCCTCCCAGAGCTGGGCGACGTGCTCATGCAGAGGCTCGAGGCCATCGAGCAGGCGCGCAAGGACGGCCACTGGGCCGTGCCGCAGCATCTAGAGGTCGGGGCCGACGTGGACGCCAGCCCGGCGCGGGCCAGCGAGGTGCGCGAGACGGTCGGTGCTTTCGAGGACGAGGCGAGGCTGGCGCAGCACTTGGCGGCCGCCGGCAAGAAGACGGGCAGGCCCCCCTAGGGGTTTGGCCAAGGGGGGGGCTCAGGAGTGACGCCGCCCCCCCCCCCCCCCCCCTCAGAGGCCAAGCGACGGGACACCGTCGCCCAGGGCGTCACCGCCAGTCCTAGCACCTTTTTCTCAGAGTTCACAGGCTGCCAAGAGGAGGCGCCGCCGCGCAGGCGCGGTGGCGAAGAAGCTGGCAGCCAGGAGACAGGGGCACGAGACGGGCGCGTGGCCCACGGCAGCCCAGGTCGCGAGGCAGCTGGAGGGCCCGCCGTCCCGCGCTGGGGGAGGCAGCGGCTCCGAGTCTGGCCGCGGCCCCCCTCGAGCCCCCGCGCCTCGGGGCGGCTCGCCGACGGGGGCGGGGGGGCTGGGCGCGCCTCAGCTGGTCTCGTCGCGGAGCCTGCGCGCCGCGTGCAGTTCCTGCTGGCGAGAAGAGAGACGGGCCCTCGGCGCGCAGGCCCGCCTTGGCCAGCTCAGGTGCAGGAGCAGGTCGAGGGGCCACGGGCGCCCGGGGCTTCCTCGACAAGGCGAAGCAGGGCAAGGGCAAGAACAGGAGCGCGGCGAAGGGCAAGGGCAGGTCGGAGCAGGGGTCCAAGGGGCCCATGGGCGGCAAGAAGGGCTCCAAGGGCAAGAGGACGTGAGCGAGGAGCTCGACGCCACCGGCGAGAAGCAGGAGGCCCTCGGCTTCTCAGGATAGGTTAGCTCAGATACGGACGACAGCTGGGAGTCTGCCGCGACGGAGGATGGAGAGGATGAGTGGATGGACGCCTGCAGCCTCGCAGGGGCAGAGCGCGCCAGTGTGCCCAGCGGCCGCGCTGCCGTGCTGCCCCCCCCCGCGCCCGCGTGCTGGGCGACGGCGCTGGCGGACGCGGCGAGGCGGCCCCCCCTGCCTGCCCCCGCGGCGCCAGCGCGCTCGACGGCATTGCCTGCGAGCGGCGACCCGCCCGCGCCGACGTGCCCCACGGCAGAGTTGGCGGGCCCGGCAGGGAAAGCCCTTGTGCAGTGCAGGTTCGCATAGATTCTGATATCCCAGGAGATCGCGAGGTGACAGCCAGCGACGCGTTTCCCTTGGGAGGCCAGCTTCGTGAGATCATGTGCCAGCATCAGCCAGCTCGAGGTTGCGATGGCGACGTTTGCGCGAATCAGGTGGAGCCCGAGAGCGAGAGGGGCGAGCTCGAGACAAATTTTGTTCCCACGCCACCGTCCAGGCGGAGAAGGTGCAACCTTCTTCCTCTTCCGCCTGGGGAAGTACGCGAAGTGCTTGTGTTGCGCCGTGGAGGTGATGGTGAGAAGGAGCTGGTGGAGGCTAGGCCGGAGTTGAACGACTGGCTATCCCTGGTCATCACGGGTCTTTATTTCCACTACGGGCTGCGCGGGCGCGCCCCCCGTCTGGCGCCCAGCGGGAGGAGGCCCACGGCGGCGCAAGCATCTGCCACGCGGCTCCTTGCCGAGGAGGCACAGGTGTTCCTGGGCCAGTGCGACGGCGACTTGCCGACGATCGATTGGGAGGCCGAGATGAAGGCCTCCGCCGTCAGCTACACAGGGGAAGAGGTCTACCCGTCCGAGCCTTTGAACCTGGGGCGGCTCGTCAATGCGCCCCCCCCTGTGCCGGCGGCTTCGTCGGTGGACGTGCTCAGGGTCTGCGAGGGCTGGGTCCGCCAGGCGCTGCTGAAACCGAGTCGCGTCCTGCAGGCGGAGGGCGACGTGGAGGTGATGCCGAGGACTCCCCGCGTCTGGGTTACCGCCTCGGAGCGGGGCCGCGTTGCCGCGGTGCTGGTCGAGCGGGAGATCCTCGAGCCCATCAACTTTGAAGAGGTGGCTGTCTTCGAAGGCAAGAAAAAGCTCTTGGGCGGCATGTTCGGCGCGCATATGGGCGGCCACAAGCGTGGCGAAGGCCCCCAGAGGCTCGTCATGAACATGATCCCTTCGAGTGCGATCCAGAAGGTGACTCAGGGGGACCTGCCGCTTCTCCCGTCGTAAGTGGCGTAGCGTGGCGCTCAGGTCAGGCGAGGTCCTCGCCATGTCGTCGGAGGACCCCAAGTGCTGCTTCTACGTCTACCGCCTCCCGCCAGCCTGGAGGCCCCACTTCGCCTTGTCGCTTCCAGTCCGGCGCAAGGCGCTGGGGCTGTCAGGCGAAGGATCAGTCTATCTGACATCCACGGTGGTTCCGATGGGCTGGGTCTCGGCGACGGGAGTGATTCAACACGTTCACCGAATCTCTTACGTTGCTGGCGGGCTGATGTACCGGCTCTCCCTGCAGACCGTGAGCTTCGTCGTGACGCACCCGTTCCTGGTCGAGGCGGCGGGGCGGTGCCAGGTGGGCCCGCCGCCGTCTCAGGAAGGGTGTCGCCCGACATTCGACCACCCCCTCGGAGTGGCGCGTGACCCGGTGGGCCAGCCGACCCAGGGCTTGTTTGCGAGGACGTGCGGGATGACATGTCGGTGCCAGGTGGGCCCGCTGATGTCTCCAGCCCGATCGAGTTCAACGGCCAGCAGCCCCCGCAGACTCCAGAGTGGCCAGGTGGGCCAGCTGCGTCAGCGGGGCGGCCGCGGCGTGGCCAGGCGGGCTCGCCGCCGCCGGCAGGGTGAAGCGACGTCTACATCGGACGGGGCAGCCAGCACCTGGAGCTCGAGGCGTCGGTGTGGGGGGTAACCCTTTCCGGCTGAAAGTAGACGGAACTCGGCGTGAAGTAATTTCGAAGTTCGGAAGGTGGCTGCGTTCTCTGCAACGGCTGGTGGATGTGGTTCCAGAGCTGACGGGATGTCGGCTGCTGTGCCATTGCCGAGAGAGCCAAGAGTGCCACGGTGGCGAGATCATCAAGCTCCGGGACGACGTGTGCGCCCCTGAGTCCGAGGGCGACGTGCAGCCCGTTCGGACCGATAACCAGTGTTGGCTCGTGCGGCAGGTGCACATCGACAGCTTGGACATGCTGGAGGTCGGTCCCGCCGCGGAGATGGAGATGCCCAAGCTGGCGGGGCGCCCCGAGGCCATGCGGGCGGCCCTGGAGCGGCATGAGGCACTCGGCGTCCCCGCGAGCGAGGCCAAGGCCGTGGTCAGAGAGTCCACGGCGACCGCGCTGGGTGACTTCGCGAACGGGGAGCAGGGCACGATCGGGCCGCCAGGCGAGTTTTGCCGGAAGGTGATCGCATTGACGCTCCACACCCTGAGACGGCCGCGTGTCACACAGAAGTGGTTGCAGGTGCTGGAAGGGCGCTGGGTACGCATGATGCTCTACCGTCGCGAGACCATGACCTGCTTTGGTGAGTGCTATCAGTTTTCAAACATTCTTTCCTGGGCTCGGTTTCAGTGGATCCAGGTGGCCGCTCCCCCTTGCCTCTTTTCCTACAGATGTGTCTCGCGTCTGTTGGCTCGCAGTTTTTTGGGCTCAAGAGATTGGGGCGGGCAAGCTTGTGCCGCCGCCCTTCCTTGGCCCAGAGAGCGCCCATCCGCCCGCGCGGCTGGGGCGCACCCTGCGCTCGGCGCTTCGACGAGGCCCTCTTCGGGCCCGGGCAGCCCCTTACGCCACCGCGGCGGGGCGGGTGGCCACCGCCGTGTTCTGGGTGGTCCTGGCGTTCCTCGGCTTCAGTGACCAGCCGTGGCCGCAGCCTGCGGCCGACCAGCCCGAGGAGCCCGCCGCGTCGGCGGCATTCGAGGACGTAGAGTACACTGAGCGAGCTCACGACGGAGATCGTGGGATTTTTCCGTGGAAGTCGATGTCGTTCAGGAAGTGGAACCGACTGTATTGGCGGAGCAGCAAGGATGGCCCCGCAGGAGTGGTGATGCTGCTCATCGAGAAGGCTCCAGCAGGCGCGGGCCGCGCTGGCGAGTGGACGGCCTTGGATCCCACGGGCAGGGTCCAGCTGATCAACCCGAAGGACAAGGTCCATGCCTCGACGCGGGCCAAAGCGGGGGCCACGTACACGGACCATGCAGGGCTCAGCCAGCACGAGAAGGAGGAGGCGGAGCAGGCCAGCAAGCGTCTGCTGGATCGCATGAAAGGCCACACGGTCCCGAGCATCTCCAAGAAGAAGGCCCCCGCCAAGTCCAAGGGTCGGCGCATTCACCTGATCCCGAGCTTCGGGGCCACGAAGGCGGCGGCCTCGCTCGGGCTCTGGGCGTGGGCACGGCGAAGCTGGGGACCTGTGGCGGGGGCTGGCATCGTGGTATGGCGTGCGTGGAGCTACTTCAATGTCTACAGCTGGGTGGTGGCTATATACACCAAGTTCGAGGAAGGCCGTGAGTGGGTCGAGTATCTCGGCGAGGTGGGCGAGTCCGTGGGCGAGATGCGCGAGAGTGGGGAGCTCGACTTCTATGTGTTCTCCCTGGTGATCGGGCTGATCGCTATCTGGTGGGTCTTCGGCGGGTCCAAGGACACGGGCACGGAGTACGTAGGCTCCGAGAGCGACGATGACTCCGTGGCCAGCGACGTCACCACAGAGAGCGAGGAGGCCGACTCGAAGACCGCCGCGATGATGGAGACCATTCTCGCAGGACAGCAGCAGATGGCGGAGCTGATGCAGGCCGTCAATGACTTGAAGAACCGCCCCGCTACAGTGTCGGCGGAGGTCGGGTCGGATGTTCTGTCGGGGCCGATCGAACCGTCGAGGGACAAGATCGAGGAGCTTCTGGCCAAGTTGCGGGAGCACGAGCGGGTCGTCGAGCTCGACAGCACCCGTGGGACCCGCGGGTCGGCCTCAGCGGGGGCCCCCCTTCGTCGGCCCACGGCTTCGAGCTCGTCGGCGCGGGCATGGGGGACAGCCCGAACCGCAACCCTCTGAAGGTGAGGATCCAGGAGCTGGAGATGGAGTCTCGCAACCCTCGGGAGGCGATGCTGTCCGCGCTCAAGGCTTTCGATGGCGCTGCAGACCTCGGCCGCGTAGGGGAGATTCGCACTCGCGTGGCCCTGAGGTGCTCACGCGGCTCTACCGCGGAGGGAAGAAGGCCCAGGCGGAGCTTCGCGAGTGGCTCCGTAGCAAGGAGCTCGAGAGCTGCAGCGCGGCCGCGGAGGTCCTGGTCCTTGGCGTGGTGATTGACCGGATGTTGGAGACCGAGTCGCCGGCGTCGGTCATCAACTCGAGGGCGGCGGAGCTGGTCTGCCTAAGGATCTACAGCATCATGAAGGCGTTCGATCGGGTTCAGAGGAAGGACGACTGGCTTCGCCCGAAGAGTCAAGCAGGGTCGAAGTGGAAGAGCAAGGTCGACTGGATGCTGGCGGAGCAGTACTTCAGGGTCGACAGGTCGGAGAACGACGTCGACGCGGCGGACGACGAGGTGACCGAGAAGCTCAAGAAGAAGGCTCTCTTCCAGAAGCACTTGGGGTCAGTCTCCGGTTCTGCCGCGGCGGACGAGTGACAAACCAGCCGCCCCTTGGTGGCGGGGCGGTTCAGATCCAGAAGTCCACCCGAGCAGAGGGGGCTGTTCGTGGCCCTCTTCTCGCTCGTTTCACTCGGTGTGTACTGGACCCTCGTCGGGCCCTTCATCATCCAGTTCGGCGGTGCTGCTACTGCTCCGCCCGTCGGTTGGCGTACAACGCGTTCCGCCTCTTCGGCGGCTTCAGCGCGCGCTGCCTGCTCGAGCTCACTCTTCGAGCTCCCAGTTTTGAAGGCCTTGCGGGTTTCCTTGTACTTGCCAGCTCGGCCTTGCCGCGACCCAGTTCATCGTCATGAGCAAGGGCGTCGCCCAGGACATGGAACCCTCGCGACCTCGCCAGGAGGGCGCTCGCGGGCATCGAGATCTGATTGGGACGCTACCTTTTTTACCAGCGACGTGGTGCTCAACCTCGGACGGCGTGTTGAGCGGGGGCGGGAGGCGCGTGACGTGGGTTCGTTCGAATCGCGCCATTGCTGCGCTCCGCGGTCTGGCCAGGGGGCACTTCAAGGAGCTGAGGGACTGGGAGTCGCACGTCTCCAGAGGCGGTTGGGCCCAGTCCACGTTCTTGCAGAAGGAGATTGTCCGACGCGTCTGGAACGAGCAGGTCAAGAGGGCTACGGGGGGCTCCGTCGACGATGGCAGAGCGGTTTTGCGCCGCTATGGCGAGAAGCTCCCCGTGGGATATGGGGGCGGCTCTGCCGCGGAGACGGGAGGGGGCGAGCGACTTCAGAGAGGGGCCTTGCGCCCGCTGCGAGTATCCGAGGTAGACCTGCCTCCAAAGAAGCTCCGATGGGGTCAGCGTGAAGGAGCTGGCGCGGTCTGCGGCCGCTTACCTCGAGGAGCCTGGACGTCTCATGCTGAAGTCGGAGGCGGAGATCGACATGAGGGAGTACCACAAGATCAAGCCGTACGAGGCCCCCGAGCTCAAGCACGGCAAAACTCGGCTGGAGTTGGCCGTCAAAATGTGGGAGTCGAACATGCTGCAGCACGTGGACGAGGTACGGGAGAAGCTCTCGGTCTTCACCGTTGTCAAGAAGGTCGAGGGGACGGGCTCGGACAAGAAGGTCACCTCCAGGTTGGTGTGGGACGCGCGTCGAGTCAACCTGCACTTCCAAACGCCTCCGCGGGTGCCTCTCGGCTCTCCCGCGGCGCTGGCGGAGATCGACCTGGGCCCCGACGTCTTGGGGGAGAAGCAGTTCCTCACCTTCCCAGGCGACGTGCCCGTGATGTTCTACAGGCTGAAGAACTTGCCCGAGCTGTACTCCTACTTTGTCTCGGATGGAGTCGACCCGGCCGAGCTGTGGGAGTTCGCGCGAGGTCGAGGCGTCGACCTTCCGCCTCCGCCCGAGAGTGCCGTGGGCGTCGCCTGCTGTGTGGTGCCCATGGGGTGGAGTTGGGCCGTCTTCCTTGCCCACACCTCCTTGACCGACTGCCTCGACGACCTGGAAGCCACAGGCGCTGCGAGGGTCGAGCACGGCAACTCCGTGCCGAACCTCCTCGAGCACCGCTTGCTGTACTGGCTTTACATCGACGACTACGGCGGGGGCCTGACTGGCGACGACGAGAACGATCCGAACCTGCATGCGGCGGCGGCCGAGGCGAAGCAGATGCTCATGGACAAGGGCCTGGCGGTCCACAAGGAGAGCGCGGGGAGGGGGCTTCCCGAGCAGCTGGGCATCACCATCGACCCCGTCACCTTGCGCTGTCGCGTCAAGGACGAGAAGCTACGGGAGCTGGTGCTGGCAACCGAGGCCCTCGCTCTTCAGGACTCGGCCCCGCCCGCTCTCCTCGAGGTGGTGATGGGGCACTGGGCGTGGGCCATGATGGTGGCTCGAGCTGCCTTCTCTATACCCCACGTCATCTACGCCTGGATCCACGCTTCGGAGGATCGGTCGCGGCCCAAGCTGTTGTGGAAGGACGTGAAGGCGGAGCTGGTCGCCCTGGCCGAGCTGTCCGTCTTCTTCTTCTCGGACTTCTCTTTGGCTTGGCACTCGAGTGTGTGCATGACCGACGCCAGCAACTATGGCTACGCGGTGATGTCCTCGGAGGCCTCAGCAGAGTCGCAGAGATGCGAGGCCCGCTGGGCCAGGCAGCAAGGCTGGGGAGTGCAGGTCGACACGGCGTCCACCGAGGCCGAATGGCGACACGCGGCCAAGGGCGACATCTTCTCCGAGGAGACCGAGGAGACCACGGGGTTCAGGGTCACGGGCCTGCCCGGCATGGTCGAGCTCTTTGCGGGGTCGGGGAATCTGGCGGAGGCCTTCAGGGTGGGCGCCCCCGCCTGGGCGGAGGCCTGAGAGATCGACAACGGGAAGCAGTACGACCTTCTCGACCAGACGATCGTCGCGAGGTTCATGCTCAGGCTGCGGCAGAAGGAGTTCTGGTGGGTCCACGCAGGTCCACCGTGCTCCACCTTTTCGCGAGCCAGGATCCCCCGGCTGAGGACGCCAGATCACTTGTTTGGTGTCCCAGGCTTGGGGAGAGCGGACCGCAGGAAGGTGAAAGACGGTACCATGATGGCGATGGTCGCGATCGAAGCTTGCGTCCTGGCCCTCACGATCGGCGTGTTCTTCTCGCTGGAGAACCCCCTCGACAGTCTCATCTGGCTCCTCCCCGAGATGGCTGCGCTCGAGGCGCGGAGCGACGTCTTCGTCATTGTCCTCGACTACTGCCAGTACGGCACGCCTTGGAAGAAGCCGACCAAGATACTGACATCGTGCGAAGATCTGAGAAGCATTGCCAGAACGTGTTCGGGTACGACAAGATCCTGTTCCGTCACACGTCAACCGCATCAAGTTTTACGGGGAGATGCGCCTTGTGGGACCAAGTGGACCAAGCTCGCCTGCCCCTACCCGACGAGCCTCTGCGAGGAAATCGTGAGGATCGCGAAGGAGCACGCACCAGCAGGAGTGGGGCGACCTCTACCAGCACACCTGCGGAGGGCGGCGCGACAGCCTGCCCCTCTCCTGGCCGCGGAGTGGACGGACATCGAGCGCTGGGCGACGGCTTTTTGCCGGTCGCTGGGAGCGACACGAGCACAACAACGTGCTCGAGGGCCGTGGGGTGCTGGCCGTCCTTCGACATCTATCGAGAAGCAGCCGCTCATGGTTCAAGCGCGTCCTCATCTTCACGGACTCGCTCGTCGTCGTGGGCGCGCTCAGCAAGGGACGAGCCTCGTCCTTCGACCTCCTGAGGCTCTGCAGGATGGCGGCGGCCATCCAACTGGCGTGCGGCATCCGCATCTACCTGAGGTGGGTCCCCAGCGAGATCAACGTGGCGGACGGCCCGTCGCGCGTCGGGCCGAAGGGCGCGGATGCCGACACGGTGCAGGGCCACCTGACCCGCGGGCTCCCGCGGAGTCTGCGGGCTGCGTTTCGACGTCATCGGGGAGAAGCCGCAGCGCAGGGTGCGGCCCACTGGTGATCGCGCTGGCCGTCTGCGTACACATGGCCAACTACGGGGTCCTGGCGACTTCGCCCCCGCCCCGCCGTCGGGGTTCGGGGCGCCTCGTCACGAGCTCCCCGCCGCCGCTGACTGGGCGAGGGGCTCGAGCTTGGGAGCACGCCAGGGACGATGTGCTCAGCTACGCCAACCGCCTCTGCGTCCACGCCGTGGACGACAATACCAACAGACGCTACGTCAAGGAGGTCAGGCGTTTCCTGCAGGACGTACAGCGGCAGCGGGTCGCCTTCGACAGCTTTGCCGAGCGCGACGCCGCCATGGCCAACTACCTGTCGGCGTTGTGCTACTTGCACCGCGAGAGCGTGGGCGTCGGCAGCGCCGTCTTCTTCGGGTTCCTGCACATCTACGAGGACCATCGCGACAAGATGCCGCAGTCGGCCCGCGCGCTCAAGTCCTGGCTCAGGATGGCTGCGCAGGGCGAGGGGAAGCCTCTCGACCGAGCCTCCATCGCCTGCATTGCGCCGTGGATGCTACGCGGCAACATGATCTACGAGGGCGCCCTGGTGCTTCTCTCCTTCGACTGCCTGCTGAGAGAGCAGGACTGGGGCCTGCTCAGGACCATGGATGTGGCGTTTGACAGATCGTCGGCGAGTCTGGCGCTGGGAGTACGTGCGCGGGGCGAGACGGTCAAGACGGGCAGTGACCAAGGGGTGGTCCTCCGCTTCCAGTTTGTGAAGGCCCTTCTGCAGGGCGTGGTAGACGTGACCACCGACGGCGACCTGCTATTCCCGCTCTCCGCCGCCTCCTTTCGGAAGACCTGGTGGGCGGCATTGCGGGCCCTCAACCTGGAGTGGAGCGGACCACCGCACGGCCTACGACACTCGGGCGCTGCTGACTTCGTGGAGTCGGGCCAGACGCTGGAGGCTACCCGACGGCGCGGCCGCTGGAAGTCGGCCGCAGCCGTCCAGCGCTACACGAAGCAGCATGAGCTGGTGAGGCATCGAGCGCAGGCGGGACACCACATCGAGCAGGAGGGCGCTGTCTTTTGGACCGACCCGTCGGCTGCCCTCCTCGCCAGTCTCGCCGGCGTCCAGCTCAAGAAGTTCAAGGGCCTCAGGAGTGCGCTCACCACCCGCCTGCGGGAGCTCGCAGGCGACGACGAGTCCAGCGTTTCCTCGACTTCATCGGCACGGACGGGTGGTGTTCCAGAAGAGCCCCGCAGTGCTGAGGCAGCGCAGCGGGCCAAGCGTCAGAGACGCCGACAGAGAGGCGGCTGACGCCAGATGGGAGAAATGCGTTTTCTCTGGCAGGATGGTTGAACGTTGCAGGGTCCTGCCATCGTGCTGGGCCGTGCGCGCAGATCGAGCCGCACGCACGACCAGCCAAACCTTTTGCCCCTCGTCGGGGCACCAGAGCGGCAGTAAAAAGAGATGTGGCAAATATCGTGACTGTTACATGTCTGTTAACGGGCTTTCTTAGTGTGCGTGTAGATAGGGCCGTGAACAGCCCAAAATCGAGCGTCAAATTTTTTAAAAAAATATTGACGCTGGTTTTTGGCCCAGAATCCCCCCCCTCGGGCCTCGGTGGGACGGATTCGCAACCCTGGGGAGTTGCCTCCCCAGTCTAGGTCTCTAACTTTAACTTGAATGCGTTGGGGGCAAAAGTAGGCTGGCCCCCTCCCCCTCGGGCCCCAGGAATGGAAGTTTCTGGTGCGCATGCGCGGCGGGAGGACGCTTCCCGACGCAGTTCGACGTGAGCTCGTGAGCGCGCTGTGCCTCATGCCCTTGATGCGTTGCAACTTGCGCGTGCCAATCAGCGGGCTGGTCACCGTGTCGGATGCGAGCCCATGGCGAGGGGCGGTGCGCCGCTCGGCCAGGCTCCCGCCGCACGGCGCGGCGGCGGTTTGCGCAGCTCAGCGCGGCCGCTCGACTCGTCTCAATGACGAGGGCATCCTCCTGTCGCTCTTTGACGGGATCGGAGGAGGCCGCAGGGCCTTGGACCTCTTGGGCTTGTCTGTGGCGGTCTTTGCCACGAGCGAGGTTGACGGGGAGGCGGCGCGAGTCGTGCGCTACAGCTGGCCCGACGTGATGGAGCTGGGCGACGTCGCCAACATCGCCCGCGCATGCTCGGAGCGGGTGAGAGAGCGAGCGCCCATGGCCAAAAGAACAGGGGGAAGGAGAAGGCATTGAAGGATAGGGGGAAGGTGGCGGCATTCCTTCCATGTGCCCCAAGCGAGGCGACCGCGGCCCCTAGGTCCCCAGGACAATCCTGGCCTCCCTCTTCCTCATCAGTCTCCACTTCGCCATATTTGCATCGTGCGAGAGCCGCGCTCGTTGCACTGTTGTGGCTCAGATTTCATTGCGAGTTCTTCTCGCGCACTTGCGCTGCCAGCCGCGGGAGATGGCGCCCGCGGGATCGCATGCCCACAAACGCGTCAGCTTGTCCCAGCAGTTCGCGAAGTCCAAAATCGAGCAGTTCGGCCCTCGTCACCAGAGCCAGGCTTGCCACGCTATCCCACGCCAGCTGGACGCCTTGACTAGCCTTCCCGTTGATGCTGCCGCGCCCCATGAGTGGCGAGGCGACCGACTACTTCATCGAAGGTGACAGGCTTGCCCTCGTCGACGCAATCACTGCCGATGCCGACGTCGCCGAGGATGCCGCGGCCGCCGCTGCTGGCCAGAGCGACGTCCATAAGCAGACGCTGGGCAATTCGGAGCTGTGCTTCACCGAGGTCGAGTGGCAGTCGCCACGCAGCTCGCCAGACCATGCGGCCCACGCGATCGCGAACAAGATGGCCCAGTTGCGCGTGCTCTCTCATTCCAAGCTCACCGTAGCTACGTCTGGAACTATCGGCGACCGGGCGCAGCAGGGCCATTGCATGACGAACGCCATGTGGTGGAGGGACTCTATCAAGTCAGGATTGCACTCCATCGGGCGGACCGTGCAGCAGGATCGTGCG